GACTAGTGTTTTTATAATCTGAAGACAGATTCAAATTATCTTGATTACTTTTTGAGTTATGGCCGAAATGAACATTTTTACTTGAACAGCCTATTAGTTCAATACAAAGTTTATCTCAATAATAAACTTATTGATGTTTTTTATATTTGATAACAAATTACTCAAACTATTATTGTTAGAAGTGTTGAGAATATAAGAGAATTTTTTTTAAATACAAAACATATTATTTCATTATTTAATAATTAATTTGATTAAACAATGAATTACAAAACATTATTATTAACTTGTGTATTTATATGTTGTGTTTATGGAGAAACTAATTTAGGTTTCCAAATATTTATGGGTCGTCCGACCGATAGATACGGTTTCATTAGACCACCGGTTGTTAGTACTGACGATCAGTTGTATGAGAAACCACAGGACCACTGGTTTGACCAGAGATTGGATCACTTCAATAAAACCGACGACAGAACTTTTAAACAGGTAATTAATGCTTAAATATAAAATACTGGAATTAAGTTATATAATTAATATACAAATAAATTGTAACCTTATTTCTATATAGCTCTATTATGTATATAACGATACCCATTACAAACCGGGTGGACCAGTATTTCTATTTCTATTTGGTGAAAATGCAATGGACGAGCCCTATACTAATCCCAATACTTATTGGCTAGAAATGGCCAAAAAGTATAACGCATTGGCCATAATGTTAGAGCACCGGTATTACGGCCGGTCAGTGCCCACACCAGACCTGTCTACTCAAAACCTGAAATATTTAACCCTTGAATTGGCGCTCAAAGACGCGGAACAGTTTATACTGGGAATGACTAAAAAGCTGTCAATTGAAGGCAGCAAATGGGTTGTGTGGGGTCTGTCCTATTCGGGTAAACTTGCCGTTTGGTTTCGGGAGAAGTACCCCAACTTAACTGTCGGTGCGATAGCCTCGAGCGCACCCGTCGGGTCTACAAACAACTGTACCGGTTATTTAAGAGTGGCCGCCGAAGTGGTGGGAAAGGAGTGTTCAGATAATATAAGGTATGCTTTTTTAGTAAATAATAATTTATATAAATTGTATTTTATATTATGTTTTATCATCGATAGGAAAGCCAACTACGAGATGGAAGACCTCCTGAAAACACCGGAAGGTGTCGTAAAATTGCGCAAAATATTGAATTTGTGCGATTCGTTTGACGGCAAAAATATCGATGATATCAGGTATTTGGCGCAACTGTTAGCCATGAATGTCGGCGGATCTGTTCAGTACAAAGCGGGTATCGATTACATCATTAAACACATGAACGACCCCTCAGGCGGTACACCACTGGAAAGGTATGCCAGTCTACACGTTACGGGCCAAACAGTCCCCTGCAATAATATAAAGCACGCCGATTATATCAAAATCTTACAAAATACAACTGTTGGTCCAAATTCATGGAGTATGTAAAGTACTTTAATTATACAAAATATTAATATTTAGCCTTAATTTATAATTATAAATTAATTATTAAAATGCACATTATATTTTACTTGCTAGTGAGACCATGGTCTTATCAACAATGCACTTCATTCGCCGACTTTGTGACTAGTGATCTCCCGAACAGTCCCTTTGGACACAACATTCCCGTAGAGTTCTATACCAAACAATGCACTCAAATATTCGGTCTACAAATCACTGCCCAAACCATACAGAAAGCGGTCGACCGGACAGTCGCCACATATGGGGGCAAACGGCCGAACATAACAAATGTTGTGCTCACAAACGGCTCACTCGACCCCTGGAAAGCCAGCGGTATTCTCGAAGACCTAAACAATAGCACAAAAACAGCGGTCATTGAAGGCGGCGCCCATTGCGACGATTTCTGGGGCACAAAACCAACGGATAACCAGAGTATGAAAAACGCCCGCAAATTAATTGAACAACAAATCGGCGAATATTTAAAATAAAATATTAAATTAAATTTTTAATTTTAAGAATATTATTTAATTTTTATATTGTCATTTTTTTAACATATAATAAGTCACAATAACTATTCCAAAACCAACACTTTTATTACATATTTATTATATTAATTTTGACTATCTTAAATAGTCCTGAAGTATTTACTTACCGTTGATTTTGCATCAATTGCTAATTTTTGTATCAAATATAATTTTCGACTAGGTCAATTAATACAATTGATAATCATTAAATAATTTCTACAAAACAGTGTTAATAAAAAAAATATAATTACAGATACCGTATTAAATAATTGCGCTATTTTGCCATTATTTTTACGCATTTTTAGCATGTCCCTTTTAATAACATATTTTCTATTAATTATCTGAAGAACCCTAACATATGTTCTAGAATGTAATTTCAAGCTAAGAATACTAGCTAAAATAATCTAAAAAGCATCTTCATTGTAAGTATAATCATTTATCCAATAAAGTATATATTTTCATATATTAATTTATAAATTTTGAAATGATGCACCTTATGTACTATAGTTAAGCACCTTTATCTAATTTATATACCTATCAATACATTATTATCCTTGAAAACAAATCCCGCGATAAATTAGAAATGCTTGCAATTAACTTGATAAACTATTGATATGTATTAATATGTAAAACTTTATATAATAAGAGTCTTTTTGCAATTATAAATCATATTATTGTCATTCAATATTTAAATACATAGTTAAAAATGAATTATATAAAACTTTTATTAGTTTTTGTATTTATGTGTGAAGTTTATTGCGAACCCAATTTGGGTTTCAAAACATTTATGGGTCGACCGACCGATAGATACGGTTTTATTAGACCACCGGTTGTTAGTAATAACGATAAGTTTGCGCCACAACCACAGGAACAGTGGTTTGATCAGAGAGTCGATCACTTCAATAAACAGGACAATACGACTTTCAAACAGGTAAGTTATACTTAAATACAAAATAATGAATATTGATAAATAAAATAATAACAAAATTATATTTATTTTATTATAGCTATATTACATCGAGGATTCCTATTACAAAAAGGGTGGTCCAGTATTTCTTATGATCAGTGGTGAGTCTCCGGTAGAAACAGCATTTATTACACCCTTTACTTATATGGGAGAAATGGCGAAAAAGTACGGCGCTTTGGCCGTCACATTAGAGCACCGGTATTACGGGAAATCCGTTCCCACACCAGATCTGTCCACTCAAAACCTCAAATACCTAACACTTGAAGTGGCGCTCAAAGACTTGGAGCAGTTTTCATTGTATTTGACCAAAAAGTTATCACTTGATGGCAGCAAATGGGTTGTGTTCGGGGGCTCGTATGCGGGAAAATTAGCAGCATGGTTTAGGGAAAAATACCCCAACATAGCTGTCGGTGCCATAGCCTCGAGCGCACCCGTCGGGTCTAATATGAATTGCACGGGTTATTTGCGAGTCGTGAGCGAAGCTTTGGGAAAGGAGTGTTCAGATAATATCAGGTATGAGTTTTAAATAATAATATTATACATAAATTGTTTGTTATATAATGTGTTGCTATCATTGGTAGGAAAGCCAACTACGAGATGGAAGACCTCCTGAAAACACCGGAAGGTGTCGTAAAATTGCGCAAAACATTGAATTTGTGCGATTCGTTTGACGGCAAAAATATCGATGATATCCGGTATTTGGCACAACTGTTAGGCATGAACGTTGCCGGTGCCGTTCAAAATAACATGGGTATCGATCAGATCATTAAACACATGAACGACCCCTCAGGCGGTACACCACTGGAAAGGTATGCCAGTCTACACGTTACGGGCCAAACAGTCCCCTGCAATAACATAAAGCACGCCGATTATATCAAGTCCTTACAGAATACTACTGTCGATCACAAGTCGTGGTGTAGGCAATTGTTTAATTGTTAAATTTAACATGTTATAAAATATAAATTAATACTTGTTAATTTTGTTTTTAACATTTTACATAATTTATTTATACTTATTTACCGTATATTAATAGTCAGACAATGGACTTATCAAACGTGCACTTCATTCGCCGACTTCCCCACCACTGAACTGGCAAACAGTCCGTTCGGACACAACGTTCCCGTCGAGTATTACGTTCAACAGTGCGGCGCTATATTCGGGCCGCAAATCACGGGTCAAAGCATTAAGAAAGCGGTCGACCGGACAGTCGCCACATACGGGGGACTAAAGCCCAACGTAACTAACGTTGTGTTCCCTAACGGAGCGCTTGACCCCTGGAAGGCCAGCGGTATTCTTC